TAACTGCTATTTTTATTGGTAATTTTGTTTAAAAAACACTTAATTAGTCAACAAATTGTTTATAAAAACCTAAAAAATTGACGCAATTAAATCAACTCATCCGTCACAGGTTTCTTGATAAAAAATAATATTTAAAATGTTAGAAACTAACTGGATTTTTTCTTTGGGGCTACCTAATTCTACTATAATTTCCCCAAAGATAAGTTTAATCTTAAATTTTAAAACTATGAAGTAGGTCAGTTTTTTAAAACTGTAATTTGTAGAAAATAGTAATAGATATAGTTTTTGATTTTATAAACATTATTTTAAAATGGTTTTTGCAAAACAACCATGGTTGTTTGAGTAGTTGCTTATTTTAAATAATTGGGAAAGTTTTGGAGACATTTTAAACGGTTTGGGGACGTTTTAGTCAGTTCTAATCCATTTTGGGTTATTATAGACATTTTAAACATTTTGAATTTTTTTTATAGAAAATTTAAAGATTTTTTTTAAACAATCGATCTTTATGCGCATATGCAACTGGAAAGATTTTGGGGTTAAAAGACGAAACGAAGGAGTGGAAAATTCAAAAAAATGTATTTGTTTATAAAATTTTGCATCAAAATACAAATTGAAGATTTTTTATTTAAATATTTTGAACAAGATCTAATCTCCAACGTTTGCCTATATAACGTTTGCCTATATTGTATACAAACAGTAGTTTGTTAAATCTTATTCCATTTACATACGGTTACAACCGTAGAGAAATCCATCTTTATACAGGGTGTTTCACATTCGTGGTCCATTAGAAGTTTCTGGGGAATGGAAAAATATTTGGATTAGAAATTAAAAAGCATTTGTAATCCATTTAAGTCTATTTTTCTAAAATATTTTGATTAAAATGCCACTTCCGGTGACATCAACTTTGTTATTTAAAATAGATCACCCCATATATTTTTACATTTTTAAATACTACATAAAATTCTGAGTAAAATTACTATACTATGTCCTATACCTAAAGTGAATATTTTTCGAGTTTTTAATTTTTTTCGTTAAAATTTAAAAATGCACGTTAATCACTAATATATAGCTTTTTTGTTATTAGGTTTGCGAATATGGGGGTGGAATTTTTGAAATTTTAAAACATTGTTTAAAGATTTCATGGGAATTCTTTAACCTTTTTCAACTAATTACCTGAGAAAAACCATGGCAAATTAGGGTTGAAACTTAAAACGTTAATAAATAGTTTATTTTAAAAGTAATACCCGGTATGTTTTACATAATTAAATAGTAAATTAAAAAACCTTTCGATTGATGTAACTATTTCCTTACCCAATTACAGAGATATTGAACAATTTGACGGTATATATGGTTACCACGTAATCTGTCATTGTTCAAAATTTTATCAATTTTTTTAGGTTTTTATAAACAATTTGTTGACTAATTAAGTGTTTTGTAAACAAAATTACTAATAAAAAATAGCAATTATAGTGACTTATAAAAAATATTTGCGAGCCAAACATATTTAAAATTTGTAACAGTGTCTGAAAAAAAAAATCAACAAAGCTGTAGGATGTCAACTAGATGAAGCACTAGCTCATTGGAGACAATAAAATAAACAATTTATTTACATTTAAGCATTTCTTAATTCATACTTCTACATTCTTGACTATTCTGTGTAAAATTATAATTATATATAAAAAAATGGATCGTATCGTAAACGAAACAAAAATATTTCAGACAAATTTCAATTTTGAATGAAAATTTGGCGTGAAATAACCCATACCTACGTATATAATTTTTTTTCAAACTTTAAATGTTTTTTAATTTTTTGCGTTAGGTCCAATTATGCATAATATTAATTATTAAATAATTATCCACATGTGGATAATAAGGCTATTATAGTAAATTAATTGGAGTGGGAACTTCATTTTAATGTGCTAATCCTATTATTAAGTCTAATTAAGGTTTTATATACTTATCATGCATATTAAAAGCAGAATTACTTTTATTAGCACCGGATGGCAATAAAAGTTACATACTTCAAATTAAACAATCTAATTTCTTATGATAAATTCTTTTATCAGAATGTATCAGAGCTCGACAATTATCTAAAAAAGGAAGAGTGCTTATTAACTATTATGTCAACCGCATTTCTAAACAGAAATGCTGATAATTTCACTTTTCTTTGTAAAGGAATCGCAAATATTTGCTTTCGGTTTTTATTTTATTCTCGAAGCAAAATATTTTTTAAATTCATTATCAACCAATAAATTAACATAATCCCGTTGTCGGATTTCCCATAAATTATATAAATAATTAAAACGTGCGCTGTGAGAATTTTGTACAATGCGCGGAAATCGTCGTGTTTTCCTTTAAAAAATGAAAAACCGCGTATTATTGCAGAACGTTTTACATAAATTTTGCAGAGTTCAACAGGTAACAATAAAATTGGAGGTTTGTGTGAATCATATAAATCAAAGCTGATTGGTATCGAATTTGAGTTGCATTCTGAGAAAAGAGGATATGCCTGATTGATTGAGAGTATGACAAAATTTATGTAGGTATTGAAAATGAAGCTCCAAGTGCCCAAATACCTCAGCCTTTTAAAACGCTTAAATTTTTTGCAAGAAGTAGATAAATTATAAATCTAACAAAACATTAATATTTCACCTAAAAGTAAGGTTTCTTCTTTTGCACAAATGTCCATTATTAAAATAGTTTCGTGTAGGTTTCTACACCCAGTAAAGGAATTCGTTCGAGGTTATCTCGGCGTACGGTTTCTATTTTTGATCTTTCAAAACGGAATGCAGTAATAATCTTACCTAACTGTTGCTTGCTTGCATATCTACATTGTTTTTGGTTTGTTTAAAATAAAAGACAATCTTATTTATGTCGCACGGATAGCTGTTGAACCACGACACAGGTTCGGCTTTAGCTAGCAAAATTTTAAGGGTAACCATATTTCGTGTAAAATAAGAAAGCTATCAGAAAGCAGGTAGCAATACCTAAATCTGCTGACCACTACACTTTTCAGCTATAATAATGTTTTCGGTGATGCATTCATTATTTTTGTTAATAGTACACAGGGTGTCCGTTTATTAAGGCTTAGCATGAGTACTTTGCTTATCTTTGAGAGAAAGTTGCACATTTTCATGCCAATCAATGATCTAAAAAGAAATTTGACTTATCATTTTAAGTCGAGATATCGTAGGAAACGAGAATTTGTAATTTTTATAATAATTTTTTATTTCAAAAACAGTTAAAGGTAGCCTTTTCTAATTCATTATTAAGGCACCTTTTCAAGAGGAATTCAATTCTGACAAAATCTTTTTGCTTTTTGCAAAAGGCCACATATAATCGAGTATTAAATTGGGAGAAGGCGACTGTAATAACATTTAAAATTGGTAAAAAGTAAGGTTAACCATTTGACAGATGTAAGATTTTATTTAATTACTTATTGGAATAGATACCTAAAGTATAGTATTACACTCGAGATTATGCGCATTATTTACTCGGATGATTTAAGTCTCTCGTCTGGCGACTCGAGACACAAACCTTTTCTTCGTGAATAATAGCCTGCATTATCTCTCGTATAATAATATACTATTATTGACCTGTTTGGCTCATTTATTTGTCAATGTTTGTCGAAAAGAATATAAATAATCTTAAAAGTCACGAATTTGAGGTTATAAAAAATTTCGACATTTTTGAGGGTACCAATACTTGAAAACTAAATTTTACCAAAAATCGGTTAAGAATGAGCCTCATCTTTATCACAATCGAGAATAGTATATTCTGTAAAAAGTTTGGGATATGTAATTCCAAATGTGTTTCTCACTATACTTTTTATACTATTCCAAAAAAATACCATAGAAAAATAATTTAATTGTGAGAAAGTGGGGTTGGCAACCAGTGTTTATTCCGTCATCCGATGATAAAATAATTCATTTTGTAACACTTTAATATGTTATTCCACATTAAAAAGTAATATTATAATACTATAGTCATACTATAATACTATAGTCATTTTCATTAATAGAAGTAGAAAAAAGATTTTAAAACCTGTAAAAATATTGAGAAAACTGCTAATCTTCTCGATAACTTTATGAAAATTAAGAATCTTATCGGGAATAATAAGAACAATCAGATTATTTACGAGATTATTGACAAAAAATGTTTAAAGGCCTAATTCTGCCATGCTGTTAATTTTTTTTTTGGTTTATGCTTGTTCATTCTCGTTGCTCAAAAATACATTCTCGAGCATTTTCCATCTCTGGATGACCAAAGATCGGGCATAATTAGGTATTAATACCTATAGGTATAAGTTTTAGATTTCTGGTACATTCTTTATTAGATAATATCAGAAAAAAAATTGTGTTGTGAGCTTTTAATAGTATATTAAGCAAGAATGTCATAAGAAGTCATTTTTTGCAATCGCGAGAAAATGTCTTAAGACATGAGTTCTTTACACTATTTTTTTATTTGGCATAATTTTAAGGAAAATTTGTATTATAATTTATATTATTTTACTGTTGACATTATGAAACGCAAATGCGTTATTAATAATTATGGTAGGTATACAAGTAAAAGAACAAATGATTTATGCCTAAACTTAACAATCTTTATAAATTTTTGAAGCCAATACTGAACGTTAGTTCATATTATTATTAATTATACTTAATCATAAGAAACATGCTGTGGTTTTGTAAGAACCAATTGCGTTAGACTAAAAACAAAGTATATCTATACCACCTGACATTTTTTGCATTTTATATCCTTTTAAACACGAGCAATTATATACTAAAATATACATGACACCAATTGAAAACAATTATTTCACAACGCAAGTGCAATGACAAATTCCCCAACTATTTATCTCTTATAAATCAAATAAAGCAACTCTACAAACAATGCAAATTTGTGCAATGATGATGACAAATCACGGTTTGCCATGAAAACCGTCTGTCAATTCGCAACATGGCAAGCTTTGATCTGACATCGCACCTGTTTCCCCACAGTGTTCTTTGCGCGGTAAACTATTCTGCCTAAATTTCCTGTGATGTGAGATGTTTGACGCTTGTCAAACAGCGGGACCAAAGTGCACTGAAGTGGCGGAAAAAATTGTGCAACTGTTCGGTTGGCGGCAAACGTATAATGTGGAAAAGTTGCAACGAAACGTTCCTGGCAGGGCCACCACCAGGATATCCATCACCAGGCCCAACACGGAAAAACACATTATAAAAAAGGTACTGATTTTTGGGATTTTGTATTAAAAATTTTTTTTTAATTTTTTTTGCATATTTTATATTGTTTAAATAATAATAAAAAAAATTGTCCCTTCTGCATGCAAACTAGGGTTTCCGTTATTTACCAACTTGGTTTTTTTGTTCGCAGCGCCCCCTAAATTTTTAGTTTATTTCCTAAAAAAAATTATAAAAAAAAATATTTATTTTAAGACGATACATTTTCCATTTAAATAACATGGGGTTTCGGCAATTTTTACATTTTTTTCTCTGGAGCAAGTTAATAAACCTACAGCAATAAGTGATACATATTTTTATAGAAAATTGAACGCTGTACAAAAAAGCTTTTTTATGATATTTCGATAAATTCACTGGTTTCAAAGTTATTTAAGGTTAAAATTGAACTTATATTAATTTTTTCGATTCTTTTACTTTGACTGCAAAATTATCATCATTTTTATGAAAATAAATTGTTAATTTTTGAAAATATATGTGATTTTATTGTATTATTGAAAAAGTAAGAATTATTGAAAAGAGGTAGGTAAGTGAAAATTATTGACGAGAGATTCCGATATATAAATTAAAAATTGTTTATTACATTAAAAGAATTTTGTACTAGTTTTACTCACATTTTGAACGATTACTTTTTTTACATAATCTTTTTATTTCTGTGAATTTTTACAAAATTTATCGAAATCTCTTGTCAATAATTTTTATTGTATTATTAAAAAAGTAAAAATTATTGAAAAGAGATAAGTGAAAATTATTGACGAGAGATTCCTATATATAAATTAAAAATTGTTTATTACATTAAAAGAATTTTGTACTAGTTTTACTCACATTTAGAACGATTACTTTTTTTACATAATCTTTTTATTTTTGTGAAATTTTACAAAATTTATCGAAATCTCTTGTCAATAATTTTTACTTAACTCTTTTCAATAATTTTTATTTTTTTAATAATACAATAAAATCACATATTTTCATAAATAAACAATTCATTTTCATAAAAATAATTATAATTTTGCGGTCAAAAAATCGAAAAAATTACTATAAGTTTAATATAACCTTAAATAACTTTAAAATCAGTGAATTTATGAAAAAATCATAGAAAAGCTTTTTTGTACAGCGTTTAATTTCCTATAAAAATATGTATCACTTATTGCTGTATGTTAACTTGGTCGGGAAAAAAAAATTAAATGTAAAACTTGCCGAAACCCCATGTTATTTAAATGGAAAATGTATCGTCTTTGTGGCACGGTTTAATATGAATATTTTTTTTATAATTTTTTTAATAATTTTTTGTAGGTCATTAACTAATAATTTAGGGGGCGCTGCAAACAAAAAAACCAAATTGGTTAATAACGGACACCCTAATGTACACTGTTAAACTTATTTCCTGCCTGAATGCAGGAACGACAAATAAGATATGAGACTTGAGGCCGAAGTGGGTTTGTGGAACGAAACTGCAATCGGATCGAATCAGTCAATCCAATTGATACCATAATGGGCAGTGAATACCCGGATGACGGCGATTTAGATGCGATGCCGAACAATAATTGTGAAAATCAAGCAATCGATTCGGAAAGAAATCGAGAAAAATATATGTATGTTAGGTTAGGAGAATAGACTACACAAAATTGAAAATATACTTTTTACAAATCATATGTCCCATATATGGGACCGTCGTCCTGAGTACATTGATATGCTACATGTGTAGGGTTACATAAGAAAATTTTTGAGAAAAGTAGGTTTTTGCCGCTGATTAAGATTTTGGTTTTGACGAACTTATTCGCTGTTACGGGGCACTATGCATTGCTAGTAAGGGATTATTTAAATCAGGTCTTTCCCAATCGCTGGATAGGTCAAAGGGGTCAAATTGAGTGGCCAGCGCGATCGCCCGATTTGAACCCTTTAGACTTCTTTTTATGGGGACCTCTTAAAAACCGCGTCTATGTAAACAGGCCTTAAAATTTGGACGACCTAAGACACCGCATTCAAGCCGAGATCCAGATGATCACTCCAGCGGTACTGGCAAACGTACAACGCTCCTTTGTAGACAGGCTGTTCCATTTCCAAATAGTTTACGGTGGACACTTTGAGCAACTGCTCTGATTGGCTTTCCAAAAAACATTAAGCAACGCATAGATTGTGTAAGTTTGACAAAATACCAAAATCTCATTCGGCAGCAAAAACCTGATTTTCTCAAAAATTTTCTTATGTAACCCCCCAGATGTGGCACATCAATGTAATCAGGACAACGGTAGCTATCCAAAAATGCAACAAAAATAAAGGGTTGCAATTTAAAAAAAACTGACTTTGATTGTGGCGCCGCCACGCGGCAGAATTTGGAACAACTACATATGCTAAAATATTGCTAGAAAAATATCAAAGTTGGCGTGTTTCAGCGTTTTTTAAAAAAAATTACCGTTTTCAAAATAATCACATGTTCCGGGACTTTACGGACACACTGTATAACAAACCTTATACCTAAACTCAACCGTTTCTGAAATATTTGCATTCGAAATGTTATCATTAAATGTTTTTTTAAAGTGTTAGAAATTAAGAAGCCTCAGTATACTAAAATTTTTATTGAAAATAAATTACTATAGTGACATTATGTCAATATGTCTTGTTAAATAAGTAAAAATGGCGTACTCAGACAGAGAAAGACAAACTATTTCAAATTATTATCTTAAAAATAATTTAAATATTTCAGAAACGGTTAAACTTAGGTATATGGTATGTTATATGAAATATGCTTAGAATTTTACAAGGAATCGAAAAATAAATACATATATGTATATAGGGTGCACCCTATATCATGATCATGATCCATTGAAAAAAAATAAACTTTTTGTTTTTCCCTGTATACTGGTCAATTTCCCAATTTTCTTTTTACGTAGTAAAAAAGGATTTTTTAATACCTACATAACCACACTTTTAATTTTTTTGGCACACTTAAAATAAAAAAGTTAAAGGGGGGCACATTAAAAGGGATCACCCTGTACCATTTGATTATGTAAAAACATACCGGGTGTTACATTTAAAATAAAAAAGTTATTAACTTTTTAAGTTAGCCTAATTTGCCCTAACTTTTATCAGGTTATTTGTTGAAAATGTTAAAGAATTGACAAGGAATCGTTTAAACAATGTTTTAAGATTCTAAAAACTCCACCCCCCATATTCGCAAACCTAATAACAAAAAGTTATAGGCTATTTTTGAATAATACGCATTTCTTAAATTTTAACGAAAAAAATTAATAACTTGAAAACTATTCAGGTACAGGACATGGTATAGTAATTTTACTCATAATTTTATGTGGAATTCATAAATTCCATATAAAATTATGTAATTATAATTAGTAATATATATAAATTGTAAAAATATATGGGATGTTCTATTTGAAATAACAAAGTTGATGTCACTTCCAGTTAAACCGGAAGTGGTATTTTGTTTAAAATATTTTAGAAAAATAGACTTCAATGGATTATAAACGCTTTTAAAATTTTAAATCGATAACTTTTTTGTTTCCCAGAAACTTCTAATGGGCCAAGAATGTGACGAAGTCACGAATTTAAATCAGGCACGAGCGAGCGTTTAATTAAATGAGTGTCTATAAAACTTTATAAAGGAGTTGCATACCATACTTTTTCTACGACAAATACTTAATATCTAAAAATGATTTAAATTAAATATTTGTATGGAGCTACATCTATACAAAAATAGAGTAACCGTAAAAATAGGAATCTGTATTAACGGCGGAAAATGTCAAATTTTTCTGTGTAAACCGAAGTTTATCCCTTTAAAATGGAAGGGCACTTTATTTTAACGATTATATGACATTTGACAACTATCAACTAACTTAAAACTAACTAAAAGCCCGTTACTAAAACACCATAAAGCCATAGCTTGCCAATGTGTATTTAAAAAATATCTTAGTGTCATGAAAACATGTACGATAATGGGCGTTTTAAAGGTGGGAGTAGAAAAATACTATGTTATAAAATTAATAGTTTTCATAAAAACAACTTTTAGTATCAAATTTTCCAAATAATTTAGGGAAAATATTACAACAATCCAAAATTAAACCTTTTAAATTTTTGTTGTATCGAATTATAGAAAAATATACCTAATGCAAAGTATATTAACTTTTATATTTCTCTTTTCTTTTAGTTATTATTAATTTACAGCTGAAATAAATACATAAATGTTTATAAACTAAAAAGATTTTTTTATATTTAATAATTTTAGTAGCTCCAAAAGCACTTCCACCCAACAAACAAAACATTGTTGTCTTTTCGGTGATAAATCAAACCAGGTTTTTCTTTGTTTTAAAAAACTCGACCTAATCTCTCTGCGATAAAAAATCATAATTAGTCTAGACGTAAAATTACTGAAGTAATTTATGTCGAAAAAAGCATCGTAAGGTGCGATCCCAAACAACGACGGGCGTAAAAAAATGTTTGTTTCGGTCGACTGCAAGCATGGGAGAGAGGAAATCCTCCTTCCACGGTCCGATACACTTTCCTAAACGGGCAGGATTTATATTTTAACAGGTGGTTTATTCTATAGAAAACGGAAGGTATAAAAACTAGCATTTTGTTTCATGCAAACTTAAGCCTAATTGGCATTCTTACTCTCTAAAATAAAACAGTGGATTTTCACTGATTGACAGTGCATATTAACTATTTGCCGCAGTGATAAGTATACCACTAGCAATTAGTGAATACTCACTTTTTCATGTAGCGATTTCTTTGCACTAATTTATTTAGTGGAAATTACACTGTACAAATTAGTGAAATAGGTTTAGTTCAAAAAAGTTAAAATTTCACTATTTTCTGTCGAGAGTTCCGGAAAAGTAGTGATAATAAAAAACACTAATTTGGAGAAGTTAAAATTTCACTAATTTATATTGAAAAACACTAATTTTACAGTGAATAATAACTCACTGACGGAAATAGTGAAAATTTCACTGTTTCACTTTTAGAGAGTAGATTAT